AAAAAAAAAATTTGTCCCGACGATCTATCTTCTATACGCAAATGGCTACCATATTGAAAAATATACTATTTTTGTATGATAATTATGGGTTTTGTATTTTATTTTAATAGAAGTTGATGTTGCTTTTGCAATTATCCATCAATTTTTTAAAATTAAACACTATCTACAGATTTGCATCGAAGCGTTTCTTATGATAGTGATTTTAATCACTGTCAGATTAAATCTATACTGGACCCTACTATGCAATGTCTCTACTATGCCGCGACCCCACTGTGCTACCGTTTTTTTTTTTTTAATTATTATTTTATATGTAATTAGTATAATATAAAAATGTATAACTGAAAAAGTCTAATTGCAGATTTGAAAACAACGCGAGAAGTTGATTTAGAAAAGTAAATTTTTGCTTCTGATGAAAGTTTCTTGTAGTCCAGTGTATTTATTCATAAGTAACAAATTTTTTATTTATTTTTTTCAACGATACGTCAAATGACTACAATTCGTATCTAGGTTAAAGATATTACCCTCAAAAATTGAAAAAAAATTTTAATTTATCAATTAAACAGTTAGTTATTCCATTTCCTCCATANTAAAGATATTACCCTCAAAAATTGAAAAAAAATTTTAATTTATCAATTAAACAGTTAGTTATTCAATTTCCTCCATACAAACAATTAAAATCATTAATTTCTAATGTTTTCAAAGTATTTATTGACGAATCAAGTTTGATATGATAGGTTTCAACTACAAAATTAAATCATAACATTCATAGTAGGAAATGTTTCCACTATGCCGCGACCCCACTGTGCTACCGTTTTTTTCCATGATTTTAATAGAGTGTAAATTTGTGTCATGTTTATCAAATTATTTTGACGGATAATTGCTATCGTGATTATTTAAAATAAGTTAATTAGCTTAGAATTTTAAAATCTGATTCCAATAAAATAAATATTGTTATTACCCTTATAAGGCTTAAGGGATAATCATAAAATATATTTAATGTTCAATAACACACAAAAAATTAAAAGATTTAAAATTAACATTACATTTATTTTATCTATTTAAAAAATGTTAAAAAGGAATAACTTGTTCATAGATGAATTAAATTGATTTTTTAGATTTCCTTTAAAATAAATAATTAGTATTAATAATTAATTTTTGTATAAAATTGTACAGAAATATTAACCTAATAATGAAAATATCTAGCTTAATATGAAAGGAATTTTATATAATATAGAATTTTATATTATAGATAATTATATTATTATTCTCTTCTTTAACTAATTTTAGACAACAATAAAATTTAAAATCAATCTTTACTATCGGCAAATATTTTGCGGCCAGCAATAAATTTATAAAATGTAGTACGAGACTCAATTGTAAAGTGAGTATGGTGTAATTAAAGTTAAAAAGTTATTCTTCAGTAATTTTTAATAATTTAGACGAATATTACGTCAAATTAATCGTATGTATTGGATATATTTAAAACACTTTTTGTTAAAGATATTTAGCTCTTTTTTAATTAAGTAAAATTAAAACTATATTAAAAATATTAATAATTTAAAAACTAAAAAAAATTAAAATTAAAAGCCACAAAAAATTACTGAAAAGTCGCGAATTCGTATTTCGGAAACAATGTTACCATTAACAACGCTAAACACGTACTTTTTTAATATTTAAGTTTTGTTAGATAGTCCAGAACTTAGAAAAAATGCTTCTTATCTAGAAATAATTGAAACAATATGAAATTAGTTAATAAAAATTAACAATTTAAAAACTTTTAATCGTATTATTACAATGTAGGTATAAATATTTCTAGTAACAAATTTTAACTCTATAAATATGTATTGTTATGAAATAAATTTTAGATTTTAATCATGTTAGACAAAAGTGATGAGTATTTAATAGCATTCGTAATTCTTCTTTGGATAGTAGTTAACTTAAAATCATTATAGTTATAAATATTATTTGTCAAACATTAGTATAGTATAGTTAAATAAAAAATAAGAAGATATATTAAATTTATGCAATCTATCTTAAATGTTAATATATATATGAAGAACACAGAATCTCTGAAATATGTTTAAAGATAATATTTTTCTATTTTGAACCCTTTCATGGATAAAAGGAATTAGATTTTCAGGAAAAAAAAATTGTCAAATAAAAATAATATACCTTGATATAATAAAAATTTGTTTTAATTTATTAGTTTTTCAAATAAATATGGCAATTTTAAATTAAACAAGTTTAAAATGTATTGAATTTTACAAATTTTAAAAGTCGACTTATTTCGAGGGATATCACTATTTATGAAGAAGGAAATATATTTTTTTTTACGTTATCATTCAAACTAAATACAATGTTTAACATTTTTAGGTATTTTTGAGCAAAAGTGGTAACAGACATATAAATTAACACACTTGGCATAGTAAAACATCTATAAGCATCGTATTGAAGCCAAAAAAACTAGTTTTTTCCTTCTCAAAAGTTCGTACTTTTCTTTTTACCATCACATTATCTCATTTAACTTTACTATCAAACTAAGTTAAAAATCATGAATCGAATATTGATTTTTATAATCAAATATAGTTTTAATTATATGTCATATGCAGACATGATCGAAATATTCAAACTAGTTCGTTATTACTAAGTGGCGGCGTTTTAATAGTCATTCGTAAAACTATTCCCTTTAAATCATTATTAGTTTTAAGTGATTTTATTGAGATTTTATTTGTTCACAATCACATTAACAATCAATCTATAATTATCAACTCAACGTATATTTAATCTAAATATACATTTTCGACATTTTATCAAAGGATACTTTAAAAATGTTGAAACAATGTATTTTAATAATCAAATATCCTTTCTCAATTTTCCTAATATGATAATATAGAAATGTAAAGATGCAATTCTACATCTTGTTATTTCTAATTCATTTCTTGCCGTTGTCGATAATGCAGTAGATCGTTTTTTACCTATTGATTCATTGCATACGTATTTAAAAGTTTTTTTTAAAATGCTCAATTTATGAAAGTCTTTTACTCAAAAACACATATTTCATTGCGAAGAGAAGAAATTATACTTCAATTGTATTTTACTTAAGATCACAAATTGGAATGATAATTTTTCTTTTAGTGATATCAATGATAATATAATTATTTTTTTTACTTTTATTTAAATCATGTAATTAATAGTTATATTCCTAAGCCATACCGTATAAATTCAACATTCCCTGTTTAGTTAAGCAAAAAATTTTAAAGTGTAATAAAAAAGTTCATCAGGTTCACCATGTTTATAAAATGTCTAAACAGTTAAGTTCATACTTAGAATAGACCTATTTGAGAAATAAATGCTTCGTCATTATAATTCTTATTAAAATAATGTACAACATTCGAATAAAGTAATTTCTGAATTTTTTCAACTCGCAAAAATATACCGTACATAGTCATATTTTGACGAGGAAATAGATAACAGACTTGAAATTGTTGATTCATTCAAACAGTATTTTTCGTCCTTGTACAACACTAACCAAGTTTTGACACCACACTTTATATACTTTATACCTTATTTTCTCGTAAATATTTTAGATCCAACTAGTGAAATAAATATAAAAATAAATTAAATACTAGCTTATTTTTTTTTTTTTATTATTTCACAAATTAATAAGGGGTATAATTCATAAAAAATCATACTATATATAATTTTATCGTTATTTTAATCAATCACGTTTTGTATAATTAACTTTTTTGACACTATTTATCATTACTCCTCTCTTACTTGACCAACTTTGTACATGTTTTTATATTCATATTAATTTACAGAAAACGGTTAAGTGATATTTATTTTCGTAAATTGGAATTTGTTTCCGTAACAAAGATTATTATTATTATTTATCTTGGATTAATGCTGAGTGATATTAATATAAAAATGTTCGTCTATTTGTAAATAAGATTTTTTTTATATATAAAATAATATAATTACATTTCAACTTATATCTAATTTAGTTTCAAGTGTGAATGCTAATGGATAATGTTAACGATATTTTTGAAAGCATAATGCGCAATAAAAATTTATGTAAATAAATACCAGCAATGTTAAACGGAGAATAAAGATATTAATACTGCAGTGGGAGATTACGACTGAAGGAGTTGGACACTAATAAAAGGATAACAAGTTATTATTCTGTAGTACTTTATGCATGTAATTTGAACGAATATGACGCTTTATAACTTATATTCTTATTTGTCGAACACGACAACAGCACTTCTTGTTATAGTAATTTTAGTGTTTTATTATTTTAGTACATCAACATACGATCACTGGCGTAAAAGAAATGTACCATATTATCGCCCCATCCCTTTATTTGGAAATTTCATAGAATTCGCATTTGGATTGAAGAATATGGCATTTGTATTTGAAAAATTGTATAGACATCCCAGCAATAGTAAATATGTTGGAATATATCAAATGAGATCGCCACATTTGTTAGTTCGAGATCCAGAACTTATACATAATATCCTCATTAAGGATTTTTCTAATTTTATAAATCGTGGAATACCAATAGATGTCGAAGCAGCGCCGATCGCTAATCATTTATTTTTTATGAATGGACAGCAGTGGAGGATTATGAGAAATAAAATGAGCCCAGTTTTTACATCTCGCATGTTGAAAAATATGTATGATCAAATTAAAGACTGCAGTAATGTTTTATTAGAAAATATCGATACAAAACTAAAGCAGAACAATATCCTTGAAGTAAGAAGTATGCTGGGAGATTACTCCACCGATGTAATTGGTACCTGCGCATTTGGTTTAAAACTCAATTCAATTACTGATACCGATTCCCCTTTCCGAAAAGCTGGCAAAGCGGTATTTAATCCAACATTTGAGACTTTGCTTAGTCAAATGGTAACAATGATTTCACCGTCATTAAAAAAAATATTACATTTACAAGATATGCCAGCAAGTGTTGTTGAGTTTTTCAAAACAGCTTTTAGTGACACCATAAAATACCGAGAAGATAATAATATTTTAAGAAATGATCTTGTGCAGTGCTTAATGCAAGCCAACACAGACTTGGTAATAAATAAAAAAGAACCTTCAGGTATTTATAAATATATTACTACAAAAAAATTTTTTAAAAATAAAGTTTATAATAAATCATTGATTGAGATTTTCCTCATTTCAAATGTGATACTTTAGATAAAATTAAAACTTTACTAAAATAAAAAAATATAAATAATTTTATTGATTTATTTACTGTTAAAAAATTACAAAAATTTTTTTTTCTTATATCGTTTTTTTCATTTTAGTTAAGTTCAATTCTTATTGACTGTCATATTTACATTTTTCCTAAATAATAATGNAAGTTCAATTCTTATTGACTGTCATATTTACATTTTTCCTAAATAATAATGTAAAATAAAACTTTAAGAAATAATTTTAATTTCAAAATTCTTGTTTATTAAAAATGTATTGATACGTCATTAAGCTCATTATAATATTTATGTTGCGCAGAAAAATACTTAAATAATTATGTGATGTTAATTTTTGAAAGGTGGAGATTGAATAATTACCCATAATTTTTAATATTATTTGATTACATGTAAAACGTTTTGCTTACACTCTTGTATTTAGTGAATACATTTCTGTGCTTAGTTAGGATAAATTTCATTGATGTATAATTAATATTTTTAGTTGAATTTAAATACACTGATATTGTTGCTAATGCGTTTATAATGTTTCTTGCTGGTTTTGAGACCGTATCATCTACAATGAGTTTTTGTTTGTATGAAATCGCCTTGAATAAGTCTATTCAAGATCGGGTTCGAGAAGAAATGGTTAATTTGTTGGAAAAACACAATAAAGAAATTAATAAAGAATTTTTATCAGAGCTGTATTATTTAGAAATGGTTATATCAGGTTAGAAATATTTGTATAGATAATATATAGATTTAAATAAATGTAACGATACTTAATATATTTTTTTTTAACACCAGAAACTCTGAGGAAATATCCTCCGGGTAATTTGCTATTTAGAGAAGCATTAGAAGATTATCCTGTTTCGGATGACAATTTTATAATTGAAAAAGGTACAAAATTGATAATACCGATCTATAGTTTACACATGGATTCCAAATATTTTCCTGATCCTATGAAGTTTGACCCAAATAGATTTACTGCAGAGGAAAAAACTCGACGTCTCAACTGTACATACATACCATTTGGAGATGGACCACGTTTTTGTATAGGCAGGTTTAAATTTTATAATTAATATCTGTTAATTTAACATTATCACGTTTTATTGTAGGTAAACGTTTTGCTGAAATGGAAATGAAATTGGCACTCACTGAACTATTAACAAGATATGAGGTAGAACCTTGTGTAAAGACTGACGTACCATTAGAATTCCAAATAAGGGCTCCAATATTCACACCCAAAAATGGAATTTGGTTAAAATTTAATAAACTTTAATTCATATCGTTTATAGTTTTTATTTTTTAACATATTTTATTTATTTTATTACTATTTATTTAAAATTTATATTTGTATATATTTATATTTGAATGAATAAATTTGTTTGTTTCCTTACATGTGATCTTATTTTTACATTCTGAACTATAATAAAAATGAACAAAAATCTTTGTTAGTAAAGAAAAAAAATATTGTAAATATAACATTTTTATTAGATTAGTATAATATTATTTTAAAAAAAAATGTGACATCTGAGGTTCTAAGCTAATATAAAATATTATAAATAAACTTTTAGACTATATTTAAGTAAAAAAAAATTATAATTATTCTAAGGGTCTTAATGTTACTAATTAAATTTAAATTAATAAAAAAAAATACCACAAGAGTATATAAGTCAATGAAATGTTTTAATAGTCTATTATAATAAGAAATATAAAAAAGTTGTTGTTCACTAAAATATTAATTATAATACATTTTGAAAATTCATAAATTATAAAAAGAGTACTTTAGAGATTGACACAACATAGTGTTGTTGAGGAATTTTTTAAATTAGTAGTAATTGATTTATAACAACGAATAGAACTATTGTCGTATAACGCTTCGATGCTTCTTTGAAATTAAAAGAAAACTAAATTTATCTACCAAAAATTATATAATTTTTGACTGAAGGTCAATCAACTTATTTTTATTATAAATTAAAAAATAAAAATATCATCATTAACTGTTTAATAATAATTGTAATTTTAGGGATATTTCTCTTTATATTGGGGATTGAGGGGAATTTTTCATAATTATAGAATTTAAAATTAAAGCTTAAACTCGATGTATGTTTTTATCTTTGACGAATCGTTTAGCAAAATCGGTAAATAAAGAAAAGTAATTGTAAAATGTTGACTAATTGATAACCTTTTGGAGATTTAGAAAAGACGAAGAGCGGAGAAATGTTTAGTAAAGCACTATTTTTATCATTCTTCTTCTTCCTCAGGTGACTAACCTATATTAAATGTTGGATACCATTCCAGCGTTATATATTATGAATCCTAGTTGCTGGCGTTTTCTTATGGTGTTTACTAGCTCAATGTCATTCATTTTTCTAAGAAGTTTGACGTTTATAATCCGGTCAGTCCACAGTATCTTCAATATTCTTCAATACAGCCATAACTCAAATTATTCTATCTTCTTTATAATGACATTGTTCAGTGATCAGGATTCACACCGCAGAGCAGCACAAAGAACACGTAGTACCTTATGTTTCTCATTTTAGTTTTAAGAGATACGTTATGATTTTTAAAGAAAGCGCTTAATTTGTTAAATTTTGTCCTCGTGTTACCTATACGACACTTTATTTCTTGAGTGTTTCCACAATTTTCATTTATTATGGCGCCGTCCAGACGGCAATTTTCTTAATTTATATTTTATTATGTTTGAAAAATAACGGAATTTTCTAGTATTAAAAATCGAAATAATTTTTAGTCAACAGCGTATTAAAAATTGTTTTATAAATGCTCTCCTGAAAAATTCGAAACAACATACATAAGAATTGTATTTATAGTTTTTGGTATTTTCTTTAAATAATTTTGTGTAATTGTACAATATAATAATACTAATAGTAATATTAAAAAAAATATATTTTTAAAAAATAAAATTTATACACATATAATTTATACGTGGAAGGAAAGAATAAAATTACTCATAAAATATATGACGCAATATTTGACGCACTAACACTAATTAACTATAAACATGACAACGACAATCGGTACAATAATTTGTCTGATAATCAAAAGTTTACATTTCCTGCGTCAATTTTGGCGTTGTATACAGTGACCTAGTACAATGTCTAATAATAATATTTCAAAAATTCTCTTTGTCCAAAATTTCCTGGCATCTCTATTATAATATCCCACAGTGGACTTACATGACCACTGTGTAAACGAATGTCATATTTTAAATGAGGATTAATTTTAATAAATTTATGAAATTGTAATTTCGAGTACTATAATATAGTAATTATAATTACATATAATTATATGTTTTTTAACCTTGCTATAGTATAATTTACTTTTATATTATTATTTCACATTGAGCTGTTATTATTAAAAGTATTATACAAAGTTGTTAGATTTGTATTATTAAGTAGATACATTAAAACATACATACATTTCAAGACTCATATAAATAATTTGTGTATTTCTAATTTCAATGTGTAGCAGACAAATTTTTGTATTATTCAGCCGTATTTTATTTTATTTTAATTAATTTTTTATGCAACTGGTCCGATTTGCTTAATAATACCACAAAATATTACAAAACCTATCTAGTTAAAATTAATAGCGCCAAATTTGTACAAATTCACTTTAGGCCCAGTAATAAAGAAAAAATTTTCCAAAAATTACATTTTTTATTAAACCATTAATGATTATAATTTTATTTTTTAGTCTATATTGAAATAACTTTTTTTTAGAAATGAACCGATCATTCATAAATATTTATTGGTAATATGTTAGACCTTACTTATTACAAATTTATAAATTTACCTTACAAATTACATACTGTATTTTAAATTTAAATTTAACTAATGTGTTATGGTTGCTTAAAAATCTTATGAAATAATTTTTATTTTATTTTTTGATAATATTTCAAAAAACGTGTCTTCTTTCAACATACATTACATTATAGCTAATACAATATATCAGCTATTGAGTCCAAAAATAATACAATTTCTAGTATAAAAGACTGATTTTGAACTGTTTTCCATATCATCTACGTGTACATTATTAAAAACTAAATAAAATTATAGCTTATTTAATGTTTTCTACGCTAAAAAAAAGAATGACGTTCTGACAGCTTATTTTCTATGATTAATCGACCTTCATAGTCAAAAATCATGTAATTTTTGGTGAACACAAGATAGTTTTTTTAATTTATCTGATTAAATAATTCATCGTTCAATATGAAATTTNTTTTTTAATTTATCTGATTAAATAATTCATCGTTCAATATGAAATTTTGATTAAAATTTTTTTTTAAATGTTTCAAATACGCATCAAACCGTTTTGTGATAGTAATTTTAATCATTGTCAAATATCAGTCTAAAAATACATCAACTCCACAATGTTGAATTCTTACAAAAAATCATTTTTGTGTTTTTTTTTTTGTTCAAAATTCGTAAAATTTTATTATTTTTATTGTATAAATTAGTACATTTAAGTTTAAAGTATTCTCTTTTTTTAATTTTAATTAAGTTTTATCACTAGTTAAATTTAATTGACCTACTCAGATCAGTTCATTAATACCTGTTCACATATTTGAAGGTAATATTATTATAAAAAATTATCCGCTAACTATGTCTTCCGCAATATCTTCAAAAGTATAAGTTAAAATATAATTTATTCTTTTAAACTTATAAAATAGAACTTACTCACTTTAATTTTCACAAAAAAATTATAGTTCTATTCTCCCACTTTTCTATTTAAAATTTTATAAACTTAAGTTTTTTTTTAATGGAAGCTTATGTGATTAATTGGCTAACAAACAAAAAAATTATCGATCTAAGAAAATTGTTTGTTGATAACAACTTTCAAACTAGTATTTTAGAAGGTATTAACATTGAATAATAAACGATGAAGGTGAATCGACACTCTACTCCCGTCACAATGTGAAAATACTTATATCTTTTAAAATAATGGTTTAAGTCATTATCGATCTCTCATTTTATAAGATAATTTTCTTATTTTTAAGCCAGATAAAAGATGTTCGATACCGTTTTAAAAACATAGGTTAGTGAAATTATAGGGGGGAAACAGAAGAAATAGCACAATTTTTTCATGTTAATTAAAGTGTCTGAGATACTATTAAATTCAAAAAGAAAAAAATTATACTTTTGAAAATATTGCGTCAGACATTGTTGGTGAATCACCTTGTGTTTAGATACCAAAACAAATCATAGAGCAAACTCCAATTTTTCTGTGGGAAATTATTACATAGATTGTGTTACGCATCGCAGTATTAAACATTTGTGCGCACAGTAAACACCATGTTATTCAACATGATTTTCAATTTTTATGACATTGTTACTATCTTAGTTTTTATAGTAACTGCACTTTTTTATTATTTTATAACTTCTACTCACAATTACTGGCGTAAATTAAATGTGCCGCATTATCATCCTCTTCCCCTGTTCGGGAACATGTTTTATTTTGTAATTGGATCTAAAAACCTAGCACAATCATTTAATGATATTTATAAACACCCCACAAATAAGAAATATGTCGGATTCTATCAGATGAGAACTCCGACGTTGTTGATTCGGGATCCCGAGCTTATCCGTCGAATACTTATTAAAGATTTTACCTCTTTCGTCAATCGAGATTTATATATCGATACAGAAGGAACTCCATTGTTGAATCATTTATTTTTCATGAAAGACGAGCAGTGGAAAATAATGAGACATAAGTTAAGTCCAGCATTCACATCAAGGATGCTGAAAAACATGTATGATCAAATTAAAGAATGTAGTGCTGAATTGCTGGTAAGAATTGATAGACATTTAGAAAAATGTAGTATTATTGAAGTGAGGAATATGATGGGAGATTATTCGACTGACGTTATCGGTACGTGTGCTTTTGGATTAAAGCTTAACTCAATCAAAGATTGCGATTCACCATTTCGTAAAGCCGGTAGAGCATCCATAAATCCAACACTAATGACAATATTGGCCCAAATATTAGGAATGATATCTCCAAGATTAAAAAATATGTTGAATTTAAAAGAATTACCATTGGAAGTTTTAAACTTTTTTGAATTGGCTTTTGATGATACTATGAAAAATAGAGAAAATAGCAACATTTTACGAAATGATCTTGTGGATTTCTTAATACAAGCAAATAATGATTTAGTTGTCAAAAAAACTGAACCATCAGGTATTACTGAATTAATTATTGAATTATTTATAAAACAATAACTATAAGATTTTATATACCTGCATTACGAAAAACTCGTAAGGTTGTACAGCACACAGTTAGTTAAATTTATAATATATTTATCAGAAAATATTAATGAAAAAATGTCAGGAGATTTAATGTTTATTGGTAAACTAGATTTTATTGAAAAAAAATTTTTTTTTTTAATGCATTAAAGTTATTTTAAACAACAATGCAATATTAGAATATACATGATTTTTAATTATATGTATATTTAAATATATGTACTCATACAAGTATTAAAAAATTAAAATTTTATATTTAAAATGGTTAAAAATAGTTATTTTATTAAAAAAATGCACTATGGTCATATCTATAATCTTGTTTCTACAGCTTATATATAGTTAATATTTAGGACTATTAATATAAATGCTATATTGTTTGTTTGATAACTTTATGACTAAATATTACATTGTACCTTTAATTATGGAATCATTTTGATATATTTATATCTCTATATTTGTTTGCTATCGCTGTTCAACATATACAGCGTGAGTCATTAAGATATGACAAAGCCAAAAACTTTTGTTCCTATTATAATTTCGTTTAATTATATTTAATAATTAATACCTAATTAGAATATATCCAATGTATATATTTTTATTAATCACTAATAAGAAAATAAATTATGCAATAGTTTATAACTATTTTTCATATTTTTTGTAATAGTTTTTTTTTATCCTCTTTCTAGCTAATGGGTCGATAACAATTTTAAGACAAATACTTAACAAGTTAGAAGAATTTTGTTACATTGAGTTTGTAAAGAATGTGGATAGAGTATATGTACACTAGTACAGACTTACCATTTATCTACAAACCCAAATGATGTTACCTTCTCTATGTTATAAAAAAATAGCTTTTCCAAAAATGAAAAAAGAAAAAGTACATTTTTTTATTAGTAATAAATAATAAAAAATATACTTAGAAGATAGTCTAAGAAGATAATAGTTATTTAAACATTTTTTTCAATGGAATGATAATTGGATCAATAATTATTAGATTTGTTACATCGTTATACAAATATACAATTGCGATAAAATTTTTTATAGAAGTTTCAGATACATTTTTTCATTTATAATGTTTAAAATAAATTAAAATCATGTTATATTTTAATTTTGAAGTCGTGATCAATACATCACTTTAATTAAACAATCACCTTAAATAAAGTAATTCTGTATTATTAGGGGTCTAATAAAATGGAAAATATTAAATTAATGTAGTTTGTTAATAGTTTGTATTTCTTTGAGTTAGTTAAAATTATTTATACCTAGTTTTATATAGTAGTAGTGGAAAAAAATTAAGTTAAATATCTTAAAATTTATCTGTTATATGTTACTTAAATATATTTTATTTAGTTGCATTCAAATACACTGACATTATTGCAAATGCGTTTCTAATGTTTTTTGCTGGTTTTGAAACTATTTCATCAACAATAAGTTTTTGTTTGTATGAACTCGCTTTGAATGAATCTATTCAAAATTGTGTACGTGAGGAATTGATTCAACAGAGAGCCAAACACAATAATCAAATTAGTAGCGATTTTTTGTCGGATCTTCATTATTTAAATATGGTTATAGCTGGTAAGCTTTAAATAAAATGTAATTTTTTTTTAATTCTACAGAAAAATAATTTTGCTTATACAAAACTCTTTCATTTAAATTGTTGATGACTAAGACTCAGCTTGTGGTATGTCAGTAGACATATTCAATTAACTACAATATATTTAAGCATGTTTATTTCCATTAAAAAAAATTTTATAGATAAGTTTTTTCTTATCTTTACATTAGTGAAAATTAAACTTTCATGTATCATAACACTATAGTACTGTTACTTTATGTCATATAGAGTGTATAAGCTAATTTTAAACTCCAAATTAGATTTTAACTTAACTTTTCCAAATATCCCATTTCATAAATTGAAAAACATTCATTTTTGTTAGAAACTTTAAGAAAATATCCTGTTGCCCCGAATCTTATTAGAAAAGCAACGAGTAATTATGAAGTACCCGATGACGATCTCGTTATTGAAAAAGGAACACAAGTGATTATACCTGTTTATAGTATACATATGGATCCTAAATATTATCCTGACCCTAATACATTCAATCCAGAAAGATTTGATGTTAAAGAAAAAGCAGAGCGTCCAAATTGTACATATCTTCCATTTGGCGATGGACCTCGTATTTGTTTAGGTAATAGTAACAACTTAAATTACTATTATTGCATTTAATTTAAAATTATGTAATACTTGTTCTTTAGGGAAACGATTTGCAGAAATGGAGATAAAATTAGCTCTCGTTGAAATATTGTCAAAGTATAAAGCTGAGCCTTGTGAAAAAACTGATGTACCATTAATGTTTCTAAAAAAATCTATTTTCTTAAATCCAAAAAATGGAATATGGTTAAAATTTAAAAGTATTTCTGCTTAACAAACATTATAATCAAATTCTCTTAAAACTTATTAAATGAGCTAGACTGCTTCAAATTTTATTAACTCGATTTTAATTGTCCCCCGAGCTTTATTATCTATACTACTTGAAAAATAAAAAATGTATTATTAAATCTTTTTTTCCTAGCTGATCGAGATTTTTTAAATATCATATTACTCAATAAAGTAATTTTATAGATGTTTTCATAATTCTATTAACTCAAATACTCGATATTAAAAATCAGGTGAATTAAAAAAAAAAAAAAAAATAGAATTTGTGAAGTTTAACACATATTTTTTTTCCGAAATCTGGAACTTATTTTTATAAAGATGTACTAGATATGTTTATTTATACGCACAACATTCACTAACTGATTTTCATTCTATGGTAAATTTTATTTATAACATCACAGTTTAATATTTTTGAGTGATACTAAACATTACAACTATAAGGTTTTCATTATAATAAATTTCATATGTTTTGCACTGTTTGATACTTATAATTAATAATTTTTATGAATAAATGAAATTAAATGTACATATAATCAATATCTGTAAAGATTGTTGATTATATTAATAGATTATATATGGGGACTTAAAAGTTATTATTAATGTAAATACTTATAAAATATGGTTATTGAAGTAATATAGGAATACATTATTTATTAATATGAATAAGCAATTGATTTTTGGTGTCTCTTGTCACTTTTTCTCAGCTCTCACCGGACCGATTTATTTTAATGATAAGTCAAAAGATCACAAATCGTACCTATTTCCCTCGTTCCCTGTACTAAATGTGGGAAACCCGCAAAAAAATTACGATTTTTAAAATCGATAAATTTCGATATTTTTAAAATTTTTTTTTATTAGAACTGTCACAATTTTTTTAAAAATGAACAAATAAAAATAACTTTTTTTTTATATAGAAACATAAAGTGTTTTCCTTTTATTTGATATCATTTTTTAAAAATTTGACTCTTTAGCTACACACAGGGGGGGATTCAAAATAGCAACTTTTTTTACAAAAATAAACTTTTAAAAATGTTTTGGAAATACTGCGTCTTTTAAATACATTTTAATTAAAGTTTATGTTATGTACTATAAATTTAAAAAAAACATTTGTCCCGACGACTTATCTTCTATGTGATAATGGCCATCGACTTTGAACAAATTTATTAAATATTTAATAAATAAATAAATATTTATTTATATATTATACCCATATATCATAAAACTTGTAAGTAGGATATAAATAATGAAATTGGAGTTAAGTTTGCTTTGGGAATAATCCACCAATTTCTTAAAATTAAGCACAATGTACAGATTTGCATCGAAGTGTTTCTTATAATCGTGATTTTAATTACTGTCAGATTTCATCTATACTTGTCCAAATTATGCCACGTCTACCATGTATGGCGACCCTACTGTGCTACCGTTTTTTTAATATTTTAAACTCTATATTGCTCTAACGTTTTTTGTGGGTAAAAAATTCTTTTCACAAGTATCTTAATTTTATCCTTCCCATAAGACATACTTAAAAAAATCAAATGTTCATTAAATTATTTGAGAGGAACTGAAAAAAATTCAAGTAAATTTAACATTAATATCAGAACAACTCCTGACCTTAGAATCAATTAATTTTATTATAATAGTTTATGATTTTACTAAATAGCATTTGTTTAATCGTAAAAAATTACTATTAATATTAATAAAAATATAACTTAAATAAATTATAACTTTATAATTGTTGAGAAATATTTTTTTTTGTTTAATGTCAATATCTCTATTAATATTGAATATATATCAAAATGGAATATAACCAAATGTATTTAAAAATGTATTATTGAATAAAAAGGGAAGCAAACATTTTTCTGTAATACTTAAATTTAAGTGTAAAAAGTAAAAAAAATTACTTAATTTTAAAAACTTATATTATTTGACTAGATACATGATATTTTAAATAAAATATAAGATTTGTTTTCGAACATAATATTCGTTGAATATTAATAATGTTTACTTAACCATACTTTAAATACTTACCTTTTTTTTTATAAAAAAAATAACATTAAGTTTATTATTTTAATTGCAAACATAAGTAAAAATTATATTAAAATAAAATTACTGTAAAGTCATTATTTTAGACCATATTTTGTTAAGATAATTTTGACGATATTGTTGTACTACCAAAAATAAAAATGTATAATGTAAATTTACTTTTTTAATGAATTGTTATTAAAAATTTAGTATCAACACATACTGCTTTTGATTTTCATTTTTAGTGAAACGTGTGTTACATTCATCCAATGACATAGAATTTGGTAGTATCAATTACAGCACTTAAATATTTCTAAATATTTTTATCTTCAACGTAACACACAATATTTGGCCAATTTGTCGTATTTTAATGCAATAAATTCAGAATATCAGAATCGTCGAAAAATGTTTATTGACTTATACATCAATTATTCGATTACAACTAAAAACGAAAAGTAAGTAATAACTTATTTCATCTAAACTAACTTAACCCAACTTAGTTTTATTTATTTATTTTTGAGATACGGCAAGTTGAATTACTACTGTAGTCAATAATAGATTGTAGTTAAAATTTAAGCATTTAACTTAAAAATTTAAAGAATAATGTCGATGGTAAATTAAACAAAATTTTTGTCATATAAAATAACAAAGTAGACAATTATTTTTATATATGTGTAGTAAAAAAAAAAAAATTTGTGTAAAAATGTGTTTTTTATAATCTAAAGTTTACAATTATCAAAATTAATCAATAATGGCTTCTAATAGTCTAACTATTTTTATTTTCTTTACAAATTAAACAGTTATACAATTTATTTAGTAATAATCGTCAAGAGATATAAAACCAATTTTTCAGATGACGATAAAAAAATTACTGAAAAAAATATTCTCGAATTCATTATAAAATTTCTCTTAGTAATCGCACAATATTTTAATCATCAATGGTGTACATAAATATATAAAAAATTGTTATGTGTAATAAAAAATCATACAGTGTTCAAAATAATAATTATACGTTTAAAATTTTATCTAGAATTTTTAATTTACTTTGTCAATACTGATAATGAAATATTGAAAGAAGCAATTTATTAATTGGTCGTTAGGCTCGTGATATGGATCATTAGTCTATCAAGTCTCAATGAATAAACAATCATGATTTTGAATTATTCTTCTGTGTGGTTACTTTATACAAATACAATAATGTTATTTTTAGTTATTTTATTTTATTATTTTTGTAATTCAACTTTTAATTACTGGAGAAAAAGAAATGTGCCATTTGCTAAACCAGTGACTCTTTTTGGAAGTTATTTTGATTTGATGCGTGGACGTGAAAACACTACAAACTTATTTTTAAGATTGTATGAGGAATGTATTGGACAAAAATACTATGGGATGTTTCAAATGAGAACACCGACATTGTTAGTGCGCAGTCCAGAACTTATTACGCGAGTTCTTATCAATGATTTTCAACATTTCACTGATCGTGGATTTTCAGTTGACATAAATGCCACTCCTCTAGCTAATAACCTATTTTCCATGAAAGGTAAGCAATGGAAAGTTATGAGACACAAAATAACCCCAATATTCACGTCTTCCAAACTTCAAGCAATGCAAGAACAAATTAAAGAATGCAGCAATGTGCTGATGGAAAAGTTGGCCTCGCATCTAAATAATTCGGAGACCCTCGATATTTGGAATATAATGGGAAATTACTCTACAGATGTTATTGGCACTACCATTTTTGGAATTAATTTAAATGTTTTAAACGACGAAGAATCATATTTTCGAAAGTTTGGTAAAGCTGTCTTTGCACCATCACTAAGAATATCTATAAAAGACATGTGTACATTTATTTCGCCAACTTTAAGAAAAATGTTGTGTATATCTGATTGGCCGGTAGAAGCTATGAAATTTTTTCAGTGTGCATTTTATGAAATTTTAGATTATAGAGAAAAAAATAATATTGTTAGAAACGATCTCATAGGACTTTTATTAAATGCAAGAAAAGATTTGATTGTCAACAAATTAGAACCTACAGGTAATAAATTTACATTCGACATTTTATTATCACTTCATAATTAACTTATACAATCTAAAAGCATGGCAAATATCATTTTAATTTACGCCGCTGTTTGTTTTTATAAATAATACTGGGTAGGTCAAAACCAGAACTTGTAAGCGTTTTCATTACGTTATAATTACCATAAAACGATTGAAATCATAAAACATTAAAAAAAGTACAACGATTAACGAAAAATATATAATAATGACAAACACATTACTTTAAATAAAATAAAACAAAAATCAAAACATCAAAAATAACTAAAAACAATATAAAACAAAATTAAGCAGAAAAGTAAAACATATTGATGATTCGTTATAACTTATTAGGTACAATAAATTTGGGGGGGAAATAACTACGATCAAGTTAGTGTTTCAGCATAAAAACTATGTGAAAAAAATTCTCACATTTGAGTAATGTCGAGTTAATTGCTAATAGACTAAAAAGTTATCAATAATTAAAACGGAAAACATGATAAATCCATAACGTTTCTAATTATTTAAAACGTATAACGTGATAATATTGTTATCGTTTTAACTGTCAGCGTAAAAACAAAATAAATCATTTTGATTCAAAATTCTAACTGCAACTAATAAGGATCTATTAGTTGTATTGACTTGGTTGAATGATTTATGAAATAATTATCTGATTTATCTAGTAACAAGTTATTGCATTAAAAATCTATACAAAATAATTTGAAGTTAAATAAATTTTTGTAAAATATAATTTGAGTAATTTTTGTGTAGAACCTGAACTACTTGTTCGTTATTAACTTTTGTGCTAGTGTTTACAACCGGTATGTTAATTTTTTTACATAAGTGCTATTAAAAAAAAAACATTACTTCTTTTTTTTTTTCATTTTTTTTTTTTGATAGCAATATTTTTTTATGACTCCCCATTTATTTAACAACATTTTATATAGGAATATAACAACAAAATTTGTTTCGTATTATGCAATGATAGTTTTGTCAGTCATTAGATAAGAGCAAATTTCATATATACAGATGTAAAATCAAGTATGCATTTGTAACTATTTTAAGGCAGTCGGTATTGCCCTACACAACTCTATGAGCAATAAAATAGCTGCTGCGGATAACGTACATACGCGCACAAGCATGTCAGAAAAAACTGCTACTGTTTGAAATTCATTAGTTTGAACATACAAAACAACCCGTTTTTGTTCCATCAATACGACGTAACTACTGATTCGATAAGAATTCAGAAAACAAATATGAATTCAGTATCATGTCACTTAGGTATCGGTCAGGCCACTTTTTTGAAATTGTGATTCCTTCAACGCAAAAATTTATTTTGAAAAAATTATTCAAAAATGTAAACTGTCCTTAAGGGTTAAAAACATCAAAAATTGAAAAAAATGGGCTGACCGATACCTAAGTGACATAATGCTGAATTCAGATATGTTTTCAGAATTCATATCGCATCAGTAGTTTCGTCTTACTGATGGAACAAAAACGGGTAGTTTTTGACTAAAAAGCAGTCGGTACCCAGACGCCTTAAATTATTTTGAACACACCATCAGCAGTATAAATTTTTATTAATGAACTTGAAATTTAACAATGTGTATGGTTTTTATTGATGTTATAGTTTTGGGTGGAATTAGGGGTTTATTGTTCCTAAAACTAAAAATATTCTACGCTACTATATAATTGTTCGACAGAGTTGAACAAACTTGGGACCCTTTAAAGTGACTTAAACAAATTTATAAATGCTTGTAATTCCGCGCTCCAGTTTTGTAATTGTGTAATTTTTTATTTCGACAGTTAACTTTAAAGAAACAGACATAATAGCTCAAGCATTTATTATGTTCGTTGCTGGATTTGAGACAGTTTCCAATACAATGTGTTTCTGCTTATATGAACTTGCTCTAAATAAAGACATTCAAGATCGTTTACGTGAAAATATTTCAAATGCAAAACTTATGAATAGCACAAAAGACAAAAAGGAGTTCTTACATTCTCTTAAATACTTAGATATGGTTTTATCAGGTAAAAGTTAAAATTTTCTGAAAAAATAATATTATTTTGTCACGTGAGTAAACAAATAATTTGGAAATAACAACTACCCTAATAACATTATTTTTCAAATAATGTTATAATAATGTTTTTATAACTTTATTATAACATATAACGTATGACATATTTTAAAATTTAGTGTTAATATAACCTTAAACTATAAAAATTCTATGAGTTTCTATGATGAAATTATATATCTAGTATTACATAGTTTGATAACTTAAAGGTTCTTATGTACATTTTTACATTTGTCAGGAGAAAGCTTTAAAGATTCTGTTACAGAGTACACCAGTACATTTTAAAATCTGACAGTTAATAACAAAACCTTATCGACGAAAAATTATTTCATTACAATACCCTAGAAATATTTGACTATTCTTATCAAATATTATTCACATATTAGAGTGAACTATACAAAATTTAATATAATTACACGTAAATACAATTCAATAGATATGGAAAATGAAAAAACTACACAAAATTAACCAGTTTAACAAAAAAATAGTATAACTTTTCACAATATTTGGCAATCGATTCTCTATAAAGTAAAAAATTTTTATAATATTAAATCAATTAAAAAAACTTTTTTTTTGTAGTTTTTAAGGATATAGATATACCAATAGAAATATAATCATCTGAAATATTACCAATAAAAATTCAGAATTATTTAAGTATTTTAAAAAGGTTATAGAATTTTTAATTTAAGTATTTTAAAAAGGTTATAGAATTTTTAATTTGAAAATTTAAAAATCAACTGATTTTTAAATTTTATTTTTTTTTGGGGGGATATTTTCAGTAACAAAAAAGATTAAATCAATTTTTTGGAGTTTTGGAGGTGAATTCTCCAAATAAATATATGATCCAGCATCTTTTGATAAACTATCTCCTAAATAATATTTTTAAGTCTGTATCGATGCAATCATAAATAATAATAAAAAATATAAATTAAAATTATTTAAAAATACATTTTCAAAAAAATTATTATTTTTTGTCTTAAATAGATTGAATAACAAAAGTTAAGTTAATAGTTTAAAAAAATCTAATTTTTTAACTTACGTGAGTATTGGTCAATTTTAATAAACCAGAAAATTTAAAGATAGTATAATTTTCTCCAAGTGGAATGGATTTAAAAAAACCAGCATATGTGGCGTCATATATAGAAATCATCATAAAAATAGCTTTGATGCGAATCTGTCAAATTTCACAATATTTTTTATATTATTAAAATTTATATTTCACAAATATTTTTAAGCTTCGATACGCAGCTAAAAAGGTATTGATTTATAACTTTTAAGTATAATTAGTAAAACTATATTGTGATGTGATTTTTGTGTCTCCACTTTTTCCGACTATTACCGGACCAATTTCTTTTAACGATACGTTAAAAGACCAAAAATTTTTTTTGAAAACATTACTCTTAAAAATTGAAAAAATTCTCTCCTTTCTCGTAAATGGAGGAAACCCCCCTAAAATTCAAAATGTTTAAAATCGGTAAATTTTGACAATTTAAAAATTTATTTTTCTTAAAACTGTCACAACTTTATTAAAAATAAATGAATCAAAATTATTTTATTTTATACAAGTACCTTAAATCTTTCCGTTTAATTTGGTATACATTTTTTGAAAATCTGAGTCTTAATCTGCACACAGAGATGTATTAAAAATAGCAACTTTTGTACAAAAATATTATAAAATATTCCTTAAACACTTTGAGTACAAAACATATGTTAAAATAAAGCTTATATTATGTACTATAAGTTTAAAAAAAAATTTGTCCCGATGACTTATTTTCTATGTACAGAAGGTTATAGTAAATAGAAAACATGAAATTTTCGATTTCATATTTTATTATTTAAGTTAAATCACTATAAGTATTTTAAAAATGCTAAGATCAATATAATTTTTTTCCAAACACTTTTTATATGTCTCTTTTATTTGAAATACTATTTTTAATTTAAAATACAGAATAAAAGAAAGGCTACAGTAATTAAAGAATGTTAACTTTCTTTTTTCTTTCGATAAATCCATAGTTACAATTAGTGGCGTACCCAGGAATTTTAAATGTGGAGGGATGTCATAACTAATAGGTATTAATACATCTAAATACATTTAATGGGAGTGAAAGAATTAGAAAAAGATTAATAAGGGGGCTTTAGAGGGTCAAGCCTCATTAAAATATTTATGAATATTTTGTGTTTTGTATGATATGATATGATGTAATGTTGTTATACAAATTTACAATGTAATAATTACAACTTTATTCAATTATTGCTGTTAGGTACTCGATACTAGAAAAAAAACGCAATGGGGCGGGATATGACCCCTAACCTTCTCCCCCCAGGGCATGCCACTGGATACAACTGTTTTTCACGTTTACTACAGAAGTAACGAAATATACAGCTATTTAATAACTTTTTATAATTTTACGGTAAAAATTATAATACTTAATTATTAAATATCAATTTAATACTAAATATAATTACTACGATAATTATTAATTCATGTATTATACTTATAAATCATATAACTTGTAATCACGATATAATTAAGGAAATAGGATGTAGCTTTTAGAATAATCCAACAATTCATTTTAAAAATTAAACACTATCAAAGATTTGCATTAATGTGTTTTTATTATAGTGATTTTAATCACTGTCAGACATCATCTATACTTGTCCCAACTTTGCCACGTCTCTATTGTGCCGCGACCCTACTGTGCTGGGTTTTTTTTTGTATCTGTCATTACTTTTTCTCAGCTCTCACTGAACCGATTTTATTCAACGATATGCAAAATATCACAAATCTTATGGTATCATATTCAATAAACGTAACTCAGTGAGGGAGTTTTAAATAAAATATATAAAATAATTACTCAATTTTTCAACCTTTTAGGTTTTTAATAATTTGTAATATATTATTATAATATAATTCTTAATAATTTCGATAATTAATGTTGATTTATATAATAATTCAAAATTTTAACTTAGAGTAACTCGTTTAGTTACAAAACAATAAAAATTTATTAAATTTCAAAATTATATTTTATTTATAACTATAATTTTTATTAATAGCCAAATACATTTATGCAGTAAAATTTTAAATAATTTATTCTCGGAATCTTTTTGATTAAAATAAAAAGTAATCAAATTTAAATCACAAGGCTTAATGATATATTCGAGATAAACATAAAAATTATCAACATATAATTGTTAATTAAAAATTGTACATTAATTTTTTTACAGAAACACTTCGTAAATATCCACCATTACCTATAATTATCCGAGAAGTTTCTGTACCCTATCAACTGCCTAATGAAAATTTGGTATTGCCTAAGGGCATGAAAATTATAGTACCAGCCTACAGTATACATATGGATCCAGTGTATTATCCTAACCCTATGAAATTCGATCCAGAACGTTTTAGTCCCGAAGAAAATAATAAGAGACAAAGTGGCATATATTTACCGTTTGGTGAAGGACAACGAGTTTGTTTAGGTAAGATAATCAATATTTTAGACATTTATTCGTGGGTTACACGTGCTCAAGAAGCTCATGTGTCTTATATCTAACTAATAATGCTTATCATTTTTTATACAATTATCATTTTGATGAAAAAAATAAATATTTTAAATTTATTATGAAATTAAAAAAAAATTTTTCTTTAATTGGTGATTAACAATTTTAGGACAAGTACCACCTTTAAGTTACAAACAATATAATACATAGGGTGTCGCGAAGGTGGATGTATCTCTTATTAGTGTACGTATTCTCCGGCTGCGTTCCATACCCATTCTAAATATTAAAATACCTGTAACTCAATAAGTACTTGTCCTAAAATTCTCATTACACAACTTAAAAACGCCAAAATATTTGTTTACGATATTATAGTTATTTGACGAATAATTGATAAATTCTATGCTAAACGGATGACCTTGAACAAGGTGGTTCATTTATCATGAACCACTTAATTAATCAAAAAATGTATATAAGGTTAAACTTGATAGCATTGCATAGAAAGGGTAATATTTTCATAAGAGGTTTTATCAATGGGTGATAGTACCTGTTTATGTACCTCTAATATTTTACAAATCTTTATAGTTATCGTTTGAATATTACAATTCATTACTTAATTAAATGTGTTTAATAATAATCATTATTATTTAGGTAAACGTTTCGCTGAATTAGAAATGAAACTTGCTCTTTCTGAGTTGTTAAGTAAATATGAAGTATTACCATGTGAAAAAACATTAATTCCGATGACTTTTCAAAAACGAACTATAAATATAGTTGCAAAAAACAACACTCTATGGTTAAAATTCAAGCCTATATGTACATAATTATAAGAAAATTCAACATTCAGGATAATTTCTATTCTATTAATACTACTGTTTTTAAAATAATTAACTGTTTATAATTTTGTATAAATATATAAAAGTTTTGATCATTCGAAATAATGCATTAATATAACTAAGCACATCAACATGCTTGTAGTGATCATTTTGATCACTTTATGACATACTATTGTATAGTATAGAAAATTCATACATTTTTAATTTATTTTTTTTATTAGAAATGTATCGAAATAAAAAAAAAATCACAGTACAGTCGGAATTTAGGTTTTCCGAAATATTTTCGAAAATTGAAAAACGGTAATTTTATGTATTAAAATTGTCATTTTTTTATTAAAGCTAACAATTTTTTTTGTTAATAATTTTTTATCCACATAATGTGATTAAATAGCTTTAAATTGATATAGATTTTACTTTTATTAGTTTTACTTGATGTAAGAAAAGCAGTTTTTTCTTTAAATTCTTAAAATTGAAGGTAAAAACAAATGTGAATGATATTTTTTAAACAAGTATATAGTTAGAAAGGCGGCGATTTAGTGTACTACCAATCGAAATTTTAATTTTATTACTTCGATTGAAAACTAATTTTCTGAAAAAACCTGTGGTACATTAAAATAAAAAATAATGGTATTTAATGTTAGTGATTTTATAGGAAAATTATACATTATAATATTATGAGAGAAAGACCAAAAAAGAGATGGAGGGACAGTGGCGGTTCTAGCGTATGGGCAGGGTGGGCAGCTGCCCATACCAAAATTTCTGGTGCCTATTATTTTAAAAATGTTATTTTTATACAAAAATAAGATGTTTCATCATTTGATAAATTATAATGATAATTTACAATTATATTATTATCATTACATTGATGACGAACTTACTAATATACGCAATTAAAGGTAAAATAGGTATTATATCTTTAATCGTGCCAATATATTATTATCTATGTGATAATGTCGCTGCTAGAGTTTGCAGCTGTTTTAGCGTTGATAGTACTATCTTAGTTCATAATTGGCGGGAGCGAACGACACCAGACGTTCGGAACGGTAGCTATATTCATAATAGCCGGTATATTGTGATAACAAATTATTACATATTATATAGATATAATATGACTATTGTATTGGCTTCAATACGAAGCTGAGAAGGTATTAATTTTACTATGATGTGTTTTTTTTTTTTTTTGTGTCTGTATACTCTCAATCTCAGCTCTCACTGAACCAATTTTGATGAAAAATATGTCAAAAGATCACAAATCGTATCTAGTTGAAGACATTACCCTCAAAAATTGAAAAAAAATCCCTCGTTCCTCGTAAACGGGGGAAATCCCCCAAAAAATTACAAATTTAAAAATCGCTAATTTTCGATATTTTTTCATTTTTTTTTACTTAAAATTGCCATAACTTTTTTAAAAATGACCGAATCAATATAATTTTTTTTTTTATAGATACCTTAGATAATTACCTATCATTTTATATATTTTTGTGAACATTTGACCCT